TCCTCTGCCAGGCGTTCTTGTCTAGCCTTTCGTGCTTCCTTCTGTCGACGAGCCTCTGCCTCTGCCTCAGCTCGTTCGGCGTCGTCGTCCATAGGAATATCGTCCAGGCCGTTGATATCAAGTCTTTCCTGTTCCTCCTTAACCGGCTTCCGTTCAGCTGCCTTGTGGGGAGGAGCGTCCGGTTGACGTAATGGATCTGGTCTGGACTCTGAATGTTGATCTTCATCATCCTTCCGGCGGGGCTTAGCATCCCCTGTTGTGTGATCCTTTTTCAGGCCTCCATTCGTGATGTTCGGGGTCCCGTCCTCAGACAAAACACGTCTTTTTTTCTGAACAGTATCACGAGAATGCCGCTCGGGTTCAGTGGCACGACCTCGCTCGGGACTCGCACTGCTACGTCCACGCTTAAGAGGTGGTGGTCCGGATTTCGGCGGTTCAAAATGTTCGATACGCGCTTTTGAGCTGTCATCCCGGCTCGACAAGGAATCTGACGAAGGTAGGCTAGGCCTCCTTCGATCTTGGGGAGGTCGCCCAGCGATCAAGCGTCTTCTTTTAGGGGCTTCCTCACCACCATCTCTTGATGGGAGCGGCTGCTTCGGTCTGGGATCCGGGCGAGCGCTATCAGGGTCGGTACCGGTGGGATGAGCTGGTTTCGGACGGGCTGAACTAGACTTCTCCTTCAAATGAGCTACGTTGTCACGCCTTTTTTCTTTTGTCAAGGCTGCATCCTTGGAGGCAGAATCCCTATAGCCCGGGCTTCCATTGGCTTTTCTGGGTCGACCTGCAGGTGAAGGCGAATCTCTGCGTCCAGGACGCTTATTCTCCTTGTCCTTATCACGTGATCTACGTGGTGAATGGATATCTTGCTTGCGTGACTTTTTGGTCCTGACATGACTGTCATATGCATCTCGAAGAAGGTCGTACTCGTCCTCCCAGTTTTCCGCTCGACGTTCCCTAGAAAGCTCGAAGTAAGTCCGATCCCTATAAAGGCGACGAGTGGGGTTAAACTCCGGCTGGTTGAGCAAAATCCTAATAACAGCAAGGTTGCCTCTCCCAATCGCAGCGAGCATGGGTGTGTTATAACCAGGCTTTTGGGAGCCGCCCTGTACCGGATCGGGATCGGGATCCGCGTCACCCATGCCGAGCAGAAGCGAGATCACCTCGTCGTGGCCACCTTTGGCAGCTGCAATCATAGACTCCGGATCAGCCTTCTGTCCCACATTGAGAATGTTGGCAACTCCCACGATGTCTCCTTTGGCAGCGAAAGCTTGTAGGTTCTCTGGAGTAGCCGTGGTCCACAAGAGATCATTCCGTGTGGCCTCGCTTCGGACAGTTTTGCGTTTCGTCGTAGTGAACGGGGGGCTACGTTGTCTATTCACAGGTGGCGATTCGCGTGTACTTTCAGCAGAAACTCGCCTGGACGATGTCTCTTTGTTTTCAGATCCAGCTCTCTCCTCGGAACGACGACTAGGTCTTGGGTTGGCCTTTGCCTGTGCAAGCACCCGACGAATTTCCTCGTAATCTTCACTGTCAGATGGAACCAAATCATATGGCTCATCGCCTTCAGCGTTAACAAGACGGGGATTGGCGCCGGCTGCCAACAAAAGCTTTATAACATCTAAGTGACCGTTTTCAACCGCATCAATCAACGGTGTATCCTTGTCAATATTCTTCGTATCGATCTCACAACCCGAATCCAAAAGGAACTTCACAATGGGTGCACATCCTTCCAATGACGCAATCTGCAGAGGGGTATTACCAGCATTGTCGGCAACATTTAAGTCCTCTGGGCGTTCCGCGTGCCTTGCCATGGCCGTCTCCAATTCTTGTGCTGCACAAGCACGTGCGAGGCGTGTTCGACCATTCTGATCGCGCTGTTTCTTGTGTCCCATTGGCCTGGCCGGAGAAGCGGAGGCACCATCAACCGATCCAAGTTTGCGAAGATGCGCACTAGGTAGCGGGGATCCACTTGTGGATGAGGACACAGACTGCCGGTCTTCCGAACTTTGTCGTGGATATCCAGTAATAAGTGGTGTCGGTGCCTTCTTCTTTCGTTGCAAATCACCAATCTGGGGGCCAGAAGCAGTTCGCTTGTGCGCAGATCGAACTGGGGAGGCCGACCGGTCAGTCGACACCGGCCGTGGAAAAGTTACACTGCCTAGTTCCTTCCGCTCCCGTTCACGAGATGCTGTTGGATCTCTCGGGCGAGCAGGACGGCCGGCGTCCCCCTCACCATCAATAGTCTCGCTGAAGCTGCGCTTTCTCGAGGTTCTGGGTACGGAGGTAGTCGAAAGTTCTGTTCTACTCGAAAGAGATTGCACATCCTCAGGCTTCTCTACTTTCACAATTGACGGTGGAGATCCTAATCTTTTCTTCGGACTCAGGGGGCGTGGATCACGGTCGCGTCCATCGGAAGAGTCGCCATCTGCCAACTTTCTCTTTCGCACCTGCAGGTCGTTAGGAGGAAGATCACTCTCCACGGCATCAACATGGTCGTCATCATCACGTCGTTTCGGTTCATGCTGTATGTACTTCCGTCTCTTTTCCGGCGACAGGGACTCGCGGCCCGATTGGATTATGGTTTCTGCCTCCGAGTCAGCCTTGGGGCTTGGTGGCCCTTCGCCGGCCCCAGCAACAGGATCAACCTCTTTGGTGCGGCCATCCTCTCTCCTGTAGACAGGAAATGGAGAAGACCTCTTAGGAGACCGTGGACCTGAAGGAGATCGGTGGTTCACCTTGACCGCAAGAGCACTGTGTCCGGCATCTAGGGCAGCTGGCAGGGAGGAGACAGCATCAACATCACTCATAGCGGTGGCACTCGATTTCTGGGGGTTCCGCTCGTCATTTTCGGGGGCCGTGGCGAAAAGAAGACTCGTGGTCAGACACCAGCAAGTATGCGCGGAAGCTGGTGCTCGACCACGCTAAATGGTAAAGAATCGTTCTTCGGGTCGGTCCTTTGGGTACAGCTGAAGCGATAATTCTCGGCGAGTGGTGAAAAAGGCACAGTTAATGTTTCGAGATAGGAGGGGAACAATAGGAGGGAAGAGACGAGTAGATTTAGAATTACTCGGGAAGAGAGTTAATCTTGCGGGAGACGGACTAAGAGGTGACCGAAGAGGAAGGAGAAATAAAATAGGAAAGAAGGAAGAAATACAGTCGACAAAGAGAGAGGAAGATAAATTTTGGAGGTTCAAGGTTGGAGAGTAAGAGATTGGGGGAGGGGGATTGAAAGAAGAAGAAAGCGAGAGAGAGAAGAGAGTCGAAGAGTTGCGTTGAAACAGCCGACCACTCGTTTGGGGTTTAGGGAAATTTTGTGGTAGTAATTTAGCAGTTAGAGCAGCAGCAGTAGTCGCAGCACTTAGTCGTCCATACGCGGGTTGGTGGTAATGGTAATTATTGCCCCGGGAAACTTACCAGCCGGGGGGGGGGGGTTTCCTCCTCTCTTGTTTTGGCCACCAAGACAGAAAGAAGCACCAATGCTTTTCTCGCTAACTTAGAAAAGACCTAGTTAATAGTAGTTATCTACCACCAAGTAGTCATGGGTGATGGTATGATACGGTACGAGAAACAAAAAACCCCATATCCACTAAGGACGAGAAAATAACGTTTCTTAATCACATCACCCAATTTTCCTTTTTCCTTTTTCTTTCTTACTTTTTCTTATCTGTGGCTATGATACCGATAATAATGGGTCAATCCTATAAGTCCCATACTTCCCCCTCTTTGAATGCATAACGACCACGATAATACGTAATACTTACAGATGCAGCCGCAACGGAGGTACAGGGAGGCAAGATGAAAGGCCCTTCCGAGTCTCAAGATCCTGCGCGAAGGCCCAAAAGCGGGCGGGGGCGGTCAAAAAAGTGGCGTATGAATGAATTAATTTTTCTCTTTTTTTAGGGTGGTGCCTCTGAAACCTGCACTTTGGAACGGAGGGCGAGAAGTTGTGCGCCAGTCACCCTCTTCGCAGTGGACTCGAAGAGGAATCCCTGGAAAGCTACGTAGGCTATCAGACTACCTAGGCGTCAATTGGCCCAGGTCGAACCAATGACCAGGCAGACGGTCGCCCGCTCATTGCCGTTTCCGGCCTAGACGGTCTTTCTCCCAATTTGGCAGACCCACGTTGAGTCGCAGCGATCTGCTGATTCCCGCCCAATCAACACTCAATATTACTGCCTGGTTATCGCCCCACTTCGCCGCCCTCTCTGGTTGGCATCGACATGGATTATTGGACCCGTCGATGGATCGGCCTTAAAGGAGAAGGGGGGGAAATGGTGGTAATGAGGAATGTACCAATGTAATGTGCAGCGGTATTTTATCTGTGAAGAGTCATTCCTCCGTCCCAATATGAATGACTGGGTTATTTTTCTCTTTCTTTGTCTTTTTCTTCTTTTTTTGCCTCTTTCTTTTATCGTCTCAAAAAGAACTTAGAAAAAAAGATAAATGCAGGAGGCTCAGTTGGTATAAGAAAATATTATCCATCTAGTTATTCAAAATGAAATGTATTGTTGACTTATGGTCGACTGACTAATAATTACTTTGCTTCATGGATGCCAAACAAAGAGGCAAAATTTAGAGCTAGTTCATGTTGTTTTTTACTGGCTTCTCACGAGACCGCGGTGGAACCCAAAGGATGCCGATTATTACTTGGTTTGGGGGTTTGTTTATGATTTTATGACTGCTCATCTTGCCTTGGTCTGTGGAGTTTCGGTGGTTTTTGTTCTCCACAAACAGCAGTCGAACGTGTCTCATCGTTGTGACAGAACAGGGACCATCGTCAGTGTAAGTAATGCGAATACGAGGTTTCACCTGCGGGTGAAGTCCAGATCGCGTCCTGGAACCATTCCATGAGCAAAACAAACCCCAGAGTGGTGTGCTGTCCTGTGACTCCTGTCGTCTAGTCTTTTCAAATTTTTTTGATCTTCAATCAATTCCCTCCGCCCATCATCTGTGGGTTTGACTCCACGTTCTCCGGAGTAGGGGACAGAACTTTCATGACCATGGACTTTCTTCCCAGTCTCGTCGACTGGGCGCTGGCTACTGCTCACATGGACGCGGTGGATGTCCTTCGAGCCTTCTTCCTCTTTGCATCGTGTACGGTATGAAAACATGTTGACAATGACGTAGTGGCAGAACGCCGAGCATCATACGGCATCAGTCTACCATTTTTGTTTATTTTTATTGTCTATCTAAAATGACTTCAAAACTAAACTCCCCAGATCCTGTCGGTCAGCCTGTTGGATTCCCTTCGTTCGCGCTTCGTCCCTTATGGCGCTCGTGCAACCGTGACGGCCGAGTCGGATTCCACCCCGTCTGAGCCTTCGAGCAGCTCCCCGTTAACTCACATTCTCGACTATCTTGCCTCCTTGAAAGTTCCACACAGCTACTTTACGCAATTCTACGTCGTCTCCCTGCTATCCTCTATTTTCTGGGCCTTTCAGCTTATGTGCCATGGACAAGCGTTCCAAGCCATCGCGATGAGGGTTCACTCGGAACACCTACAGAGGACGATGTCAATAAACCAGATTGTGTTGTGCTGGGTACTGATGCTTGCTCAAGGTGTAAGACGGCTACATGAGTGCTTTGCCTTTTCCAAGCCTTCTTCTTCCCAGATGTGGTTTGTCCACTGGCTAGCGGGCGTTGCCTTCTATCTGGCGGTCTCAATCGCCCTCTGGATTGAGGGGACAGGTATGCAGTTCCCGTGGCCAAGCACGATTGTTGTCCCACTAATTTCGATCGATTCGAAATTCACAGAAACGTTACTGTCCCATAGATTGAGCCTCAACGATGTAACAGCGACCAACGCCCCAAGTCTTCGTACATTTCTCTGCTTGCCGATCTTTTTGTTTGCATCTGGCCTGCAACATGACGCCCACCACTATCTTTTCTCTCTCAAGAAATACACGCTTCCCTCCCACGCCTTGTTCCGCAGCATCGTATGTCCCCACTACACTGCCGAATGTGCGATCTACCTATCACTGGCTCTGCTTGCCGCTCCCCAAGGAGAGATGATCAATAAGACAGTTTTGTCTGCTGTCGTCTTTGTCACGGTCAATTTAGGCGTTACTGCGTCTGAGACCAAACGCTGGTACATGCGGAAATTCGGCGAGAACTCGGTGCGAGAGAGGTGGAATATGATCCCTTGGGTATACTAATACTGTAGTATTGAGACATTTGTGGAGTCGCTCATCCCTGATGACTGAAGGAGCGAGCAGTGTCACCGCCCACCCAGGAATTTCATCGTATTGCCCACCTTCGCGACCCTGAGTACATCCCGATACGTCAGACTAATCCTAGTCTCCCGTTCAAACCATCCGCATCGGTATCGATCCTGTTCCCCCAACAAATCCCAGTTACTTATAGAGTCAGGGGCTAGCCCTTCATCCCTGGTTGTCTCCGCGATACCATGCAGGTAGTCTGTATAGATCTTCTTGGTTGTAACCAACAAACTTCGTCGCTCCTGCAAAATGCGCTGTTGCGGCCTATGGTCCTCACTGTCTCGGCTTTGACCCTTTTGGTACAAGTCCAGCACAATTGGCGCTCCCAAACTCACCGTGGCAACTAGCGGGAAATAGGCAGCACCATCTTCATGCGGCATGATGCCCTGTCCGGGGCGGTACTCATTCACAAGAACATGGTTCGGGGCCTTGTGCGGGGCATCAGCAAAGACGCCTAGCGATTCAAAGCGAGAGATAACGGGTGAGACGAGCCAGGATTGAAGGGGAGAGGAAATGAGGGCATTAGATTTTGTCAGGGCAGAGGGCCATGTTTGGAGACGACGGTTGGACAGACGAGTCCAGCGGTGCCGAGGGGCTGTGGTTATCTGTCATGCATCATCATCACACCAATCAGTATCCAAGTCTCATTGACAGGCTGTGCTCTGTGCCCGACCATTCCAATCGGCGTAGCCGGTAGACAGGACACTCCAGTGGAACACTAATGTACAGCATATACCTTCTGTAACAACACTTCTTCCTCCTCTTCTGTGATAAAATCCGCTAAGTAAAACGCAACATCCGGCAGCGACTTGATCCGCACCGTCTCGAGATCTACATTCATCTGGAACCGTACACTGCACTGGTCCTTGGTACAGATCTACAATCCCACCCCCGTCATCAGATAATGATAAACATTTCCAAAACCAGGATAGACTGGAACTTACCTTTCAAATTATCTTCAAGACCAGAAATCCAAATATTAATAATAGTAATAGTAATAATAATAAACCCCACCTATCAAACCCAGCCGGAACAGAAGGAAAACGTTCGGGTAAAGTCATGTCGTCACCTGCTATGCATCAAGTACAGTAGGGGACGAAGTAATCGCCTCAGGCATCTGGACAAACCCCCACCAAAAGCCCCACATCAGTGACCTCAACATCAGATCTCAATCTGACTGCCCATAGCAAGATCTCGACCCAGCATTCGTCAGCCCAGATATTTGGAAAAGGCAAGAGATAAGCACCTTCTCGAAGGGTCAAAAAGAAACCCAAAAAGATTAAATTTACAATATATAAAAAAAAAAAGAAAGAAAGAAAAAAGAAAAAAAAA